GTGGGGGGCAGGTAAAGATCCAAAGGTTATCTCTAGAAAGAAAAGACCAAAGTGTATCTTTCCCTTTGGGGCCAGAAGTCTGTACCCATTTTTCTCATTGAACTCCAACTCCCAAAGAGACACCTTGGTCCTTTCCTTTTGGAGCTGTGCCCTGAGGGGTCGACTTTTCCAAACTGACTGTGACTGACTGTACTGATGGGCCCATTTGCAGGCCCTTGCCACCCTGGGTCCTGAGCCAATCTTCAAAGGGGATGGAGGCTAGAAGTGGGCTTACCCCTATCATCTAGTGGGACCTGGAATGAAGTATTGCCACCAGACAGAACAATATCCAGGGCCATGATGGCATGCCCAAAACACTCTTGGTTTTCATAATTGCCAGAACATGGTCTTGGGCCCCTAGATGTCCTCTCTGAGGCCTGCCTTGGTAGTTGCTTTAGTTTCCCCCAGTAAGATGTCTTCCCATCCAGAAGGCCACTATTTAATCTTGGTTTAGTCTTGCATCTTTTCCTCTACTCACAGGTCTTGTTGATATCGTTGAGGCGCCAGCATGCCTCAAATTATAATGTCATGAATATCTACCCCATTAAAAATGAAAAACTTGAGAAAAAGATATGATTCACTGTGTTCTTATGCAGTGTAGCTGCTGCCTTGTTTTCTAGGTGTCTAAGTTTTTGCCTCTAAACTAGCTGTCCCTTGCGGTCTGGGCTTAATTACTTTCAGTTTTCTAACTGGTCACTTTTTAGAAATACTTTTCTTACTCCTCCTGCTAACCCTGGACAGCTTCATCCAATCCTCCTCTAATTTCTAAACCTCAAGTGCTCTGTATTCTGATGACTCACCAATCTAGAGTTCTAATCATAGACTAGGATAATCATAGCCTATTTAACAGTTTTTTTTAGGGGTGTGTACTTGGATTATCCCGGGCTCTGGAAATGTTGCTGAAAGACTGTGAAGGAAGAAGAAGATGAACATGTTCTTGGTCTGTTCCACTGTTATGCAGCCAGGCTTTGAAGAAAATCTCCATGCTGATGACATCATTGTCTATAGTCTGAAGTTCAATGTCAGTTCCCAGGAAAGAACTCTCTGCAGAAGAAAGGGAAAGAATAAAGTGTTTTTAACTCTTTAATTGTAAAATTTGAAAAATATAGAAATTTAAATGTACCATTTTTTGACCCATCAATTCTACCTCTAAATATCTAGCCTATAGTCATTCTTGGATAGTACACAGAGAGGCATGTGCAAAGATGTTCAGTACAGCATTGTTGTAATAACAAATAATCAAAACCCCGAACAGTACGCAATTCAAATCCCCATCAATATGGGAATGTTTAAATAAATTATGGCACGATCAAACTATGGGGTATTATGCAGCTGTTAATAAACAAAGTAAAAGTAAGTGTACTGACATGGAAAGCTATGAGATAGTAAGTTGTAGTATGAGCTCATTACTGTTAACAGTGGACAGCACAGGAGTGGAAATAGGGCAGTTCTGAGCTATGTTCCCTTTTTACTCTTCATATTCCTATACTATTTAAAAAAAAAATCTTTATTGATTTCAGAGAGAGGAAAGGAGAGGGAGAGAGACAGAGAGAAACATCAATGATGAGAGAGTCATTGATCGGCCGCCTCCTGCACACCCCAACTGGGGACTGAGCCTGCAACCTGGGCATGTGCACTGACCAGGAATCGAACCCCGATCGCCTGGATCCTAGGTAGACACTCAACTGCTGAGCCATGCCTGGCCAGGCTCCTATACTATTTGAATTTTATTGTAATCATGTATTCCTTATATTTAAAAATCATTCTAGAATACAAAAAACAACAGTAAAATACTACAGCAAGGCAAGTCAAATGCTGAGTTAACAAGAGGAACTTCAGCTTTATGTGGTTGTTTCACAGTGAGAATGTATTCAATTATTACTTCTGTCACGAAAAATAAAATTTAGAAGGACAAAGAGAAAAAAGAGAATGAACTCCCGGGACTCTACCTTCTGACATAGATTATACAAGTTTGCCACTGGTGTGTTGTGTCTCACAAGTATGATTAGTAGCCAAGAAGACAGGGATGGTATGGAGGAGTGTGATTTGATTACAAATTTGGATGAATGGAGCTGGGTGGGTGGGTGAGGAGGTTTGCTGGCCTACTTCCTGCTTCAGGCAACACTGGCTCAGGGACTGGGGTCTGGGTCTGCAGGTAAAGGCTGTCAGTAAAAGCCAAATATAAGGTGGTGGAAGAAATGAAGCAAGAGCTGGAAAGAACTTGAAGAGGAACCCACTTTTTTTTTTTTTTTTTGCCTGACCAAGAGGGGCTCTCTGAAATACTTTTACAAAGGGCCTAAGAAAAGCCAGTTGCTCCAATGAATTAACTTCTGTGTATGACTCATGGACCCCAGGGAGAAGGCTGGTTTATTTCTAGAACGACATTCCTGAGGACAAGTATGCAGAGGTGGCAGGCTCTCCACAGGGAACAAAGGGCTTCAGTCCAATGTGTTGGTACCCACACAGGGGAGGCCTGGTGAGACTTGGATGACTTCATATCATGTTTAACGGCTAATTTTGTGGCTGAAAGGGGCATCACATGCATTTCCCTTGTGAAATGTGTGAAAGAAACTCTACCATCTTTTCATGAATAGTTACAAGGATTCATTAGCTAATTAGTTATTTCATTCATTTCTTTAAGCAGTAATATTTATTATGCAGTGCATAGAAGATTAAATACCACACAGTGTCCAAAGATATATGATATATATGATACCTTGTGCTCTTTTAGAGTTTATAAAGCAACATTATATTTATATTTTTAAAAAGAAGTATTTATTGCAGTTATAAAGGAACATTACTCTTTTTTTTTTTTATACTCACCCAAGGATACGTTTATTGATTTGAGAGAGAGAGGAAGGAGGGAAGAGAGAGAGAGAGAGAGGGAAACATCGATATGAGAGAGAAACATTAATCTATTTCCTCCCATATGTGCCCTGACCGGCGATTGAACCAGAAAACTTTTGGTGTACTGGATGATGTTCCAACCAATCAAGCCACCTGTCCAGGGCTCTTTGTTTTAAATTAAAAAAAGAATTGATTTTAGAGAGAGAAAGAAACATCGATTTGTTGTTTCACTTATTTATGGATTTATTGGTTGATTCTTGTATGTGCCCTGACCCAGGATTGAACCTGAAACCTTGGCATATTGGGATGACACTCTAACCAACTGAGCTACCCAGCCAGGGCAAGAACATTATTCTTGACTATTCTTCCTTAAAATCTCATGTGTCCCATTTTATGTTTTAGGGGACTACAGTGATACATATGAAGTCATTGTCAATGAAAAGTCCCTTGTAAGCAAAGAGAAAAGTTCTTTTAAATACTGTGACTCTTATTTTGTCACAGGCAAAACAAGAAATAATTCAATTTTTTGAGCCTGGAATTCACCTTGAATGACATATGGAAATAACTGAACAGCTTCTCTTCTGGGAGGCAAAGTAATTATTAAAGCATAAGGAGGCAGATACAGAACTATAGAAATGGAACTGAGCAAAGTATCTCAGAAAGCAGAAAGGATAATGTTACTTAGAGTTCATACAACAAGATTTTGGGGAAGAGAAAAATGGTTTCATTTTTCCCCCCAGGGAAAGGGTAGAAGAGTAGAAACTCCTCCCATGGGCCATAAAAGGAGACAATGTTAAGTTATCTCCCAGCAAGAATTTAAAATAAGGGTTTTCCTCAGATAGTTAAACCATTAAATCAACACAGAGTGGTGATATCCATTAAAAACAGTGACCTTAAGAAAGGAGAATAGGCCCAACCTGGCGTGGCTCAGCGGTTGAGCATCTACCTAGCAGTCAGGAGATCGTGGTTCGATTTCCGGTCAGGGCACATGCCTGGGTTGAGGGCTAGANCAACCTGGCGTGGCTCAGCGGTTGAGCATCTACCTAGCAGTCAGGAGATCATGGTTCGATTTCCGGTCAGGGCACATGCCTGGGTTGAGGGCTAGATTCCCCAGTTGGGGGTGTGCAGGAGGCAGCTGATCAATGACTCTCTCATCATTGATGTTTCTATCTTTCTCTTTCTCCCTTCCTCTCTCTGAAATCAATAAAGATATATTTTAAAAAAGCAAAAAAAAAAGGAGAATGGTTTACTGACCAGAGCAAGATTGGGCTGGAGCCTATGGATGGTATTGGCTTATCCAAAGAATTAATGTGTCCCGTACAAAGGGAGAGGGTTGGCCAGAAATGGAGCCCAGACAAGGGGAGCAACAGGAGCACACACTGGCAGTGTCATCCTGGAGTGGCTCAGTGATGTGCCCCAATGGCAGCATGTGTTTGTCAGATCTCTGCTCCTCTGGTGATGACGGTGGTTATGATTCTCTGTCTACAATACTCTGGCTTATACTTTGGTCTTGAGTTTTATAAGGTGAGTCTATCTTTGAGAGGGTGCTGACAAAATAACTTTCTGATCCTGCAAAGCTGAAGAACCAAGCCTGAAACATGGCACTTCTGTGCAGGACAAGGACAGTTTTCCCTGCAGACATCCCATCAACATTCCTGAAGTTCCTTCAGTCTCAACCTACAGGTTCTCGGGAGAGCCACAGAGCAGAGTTTTCTTTGAAAAAATTCTCATGTAATTTCCACTGAGATGCTGTGCTTCAGGTTTCTGTCTGTGGTTTTTCAGGCTCAGAAGGGAGTCAGCAGCTTCTCAGGGACAGTCACGTGGTCCAAGCTAACGAATGTGTGAAGCAGAACACACGAGAGGGAGAACTTCTTCTTGTGCCTGGATCACAGCAGTAACCGCTTAGCTGTCCTATCAGACTCCATTCCTTCTCCTCCTTATTTATGGACTGCCAATGGAAGTTTCTAAAACATGGTTTCATCAGATCCCACCTTTGCTAGAGTACATCCTGCCTTCCTGCTCTCCTCTTCTTTATTCCCCTCACTCATCCTATACAACTGGCAATACTCCTTATTCCCCAAACGCCCCATTCTTCCCTGTTTCTGTGATGGCTCACAGGATTCCTCCCATCTCTGTTGAGATCCTATATTCCCATCCCCCACAGGGAGTTTGCATGGAGCTGAAGCTTAGCAAATGCCTGTTGAGTTAAACAATAAATCAAACAATTGCTCCCTCCTCCTCGGCTCTCATTACTTTTTCCTGTAACTCTTCTGCTTCAGCTAAGTTAGTCTCCTTACCACATGACTTCCTTCCTTCCTTAGTGCCTTTATTACTCTGTCAATCTATGGCGTGCACCTCCCCCAGAATTCAACTCAGAGCTGACCTTGTCCAGGAAGCTATGCTTAATTATAGCCTCCCTTGTTCGATTTTAATCAGCATCCCCTGGGTATCTGTGGGCTTCATTTGGTCAGTACAAATTACACTTGTTAATCGCTTTCTTCTGAAGGTTTTTCCTCTTTCTGTGAGTTCTTGATACATGGTGGGATGTAGTAGAAAGACCAGGGTTTGAATTGTGACTTGAAAGTTGTTAGCTATGTGACTTTGGGCAAAGTACAACCTATTTCAGTTATAGTGAGGCATGAGAAGTGAAATGATTATCTCTATGCAGTAGGTTCAACAAATGACACTTTCTTCCTTTACTCTCATCAACAAAACGATTTATTTTTATCAGACAGGAAAGTGCTTTCCTTTTTAAAACTTTCCCCCGGGTCACTTCCCTTGATGATTGCTTCCTCTCCACCACCAATATACTAAGAACACCAACACTTAGTACTGTGCTCCTCACAAGTACAACTAAATGTGCTAAGCCTGGGGAATGCACAGGAGACTTCTCACTTCTCAGGTGAAGAGCAGCTCCCACAGTGACTGGTGAGCAGGGCACTGGGCACTGAATAAACCAGGTCCCACTGAGGGTGTGGAATAAAAAGGTTACCAGAGTGAGGGTGCAGGTCTGAGTGTCTGGGCAGTTAAGACAAGTGAGGAAGGCCTGGTTCACTGCAGCCTACCCAGCAGCGGGCATTTACAGTTTTTGGATTTACCCTGCCCCCCTGTGGCCACAAGCAGTAACATCCTTTACTGAATTTCCTCCTGGGCCTGCCCCCCTCCCCACAATTTCTGCTTCTTTTTAAATTTAATTA